AAGCACAATCAAGAGAGAATGAATATGCCAAGCATACTCACGGTTTTAGCATGTAAAAAAGGTTGAAAATGAAATCCTTTCATGCAATCTCTTAAAGCTAAAACAATACAAATGAGTCTTTAACCAATTAAGCACTCATGTCATAAAAGGAACTTGTCCCCCATGCCATTAAGAACTAGCCATGCTTTTGATTAAACAAATCAAAATGCCATGCTTCTTTTATTCTTTCTTATAAAGATATAAAAGAAAACAAAAGCTTATAAATCTTGTAAACTTCTTTTAGAAAATATAAACTTTGGCTTTTGGCTAAAAGACAAAAGTCTCTCTAGTCCAACATAATCAATGATAGCTTATTTTATTTCCTTATTTTTATTAGTTTATTATAGATTTTTTGATCTTTTTATCATTAATGCACTTTATTTTATTTATTTTTCTTTAGTATGGATCGTATCGGGTGCTTGTTATGTTGCATAAGATATTTTGTAGGTTTTTCGGTGCTTGTTGCGGTTGCGGGTTGATTGGAGACGAGCTTAGTGGGCTCCCGAGGCATTATTGGGCTTGGCGGAATCAAAGAGGAAGAATTGGGCTTTGAAAGTTATTGGCTTGGATTATTTGGGCTTATGAAGATGGATCATAAATTTCTAATTTTAGGCTTGGAGCATCCATTTGGTGGCTAAATGATGATTGGTGCATTTCAAATTACATGGACAAGGAGGGGGGACCAAAGGAATCTTTGGTAGTGGAAAGGTGGAGTGGCTTGGTGGACCAATAGCATTACAACAACATTTGCGCGGGTGGAATTTTCGTCGTGCGGGTACCCGTGCAACTGCCCAGTTTGGGCATTTTGGTCATTTGGCTTGCCATAACCCTTGGGGATCAGATCTCGAAGCTCATTCACGATTTTCCACCATTGGAGACCTGCAAGAGGCGATTTTGGGAGATAGAAATCATTTCCTTTCATCTTTCCAAATTTTAGGTAGTTTCTTTATGCAATTAGATTATTGTTCTTGTTACTTTGTTGCCATGGGTGGCTAATACTCTTATTTGGTTGACTTTGGCTAAAAACCAATGAATATTTGTGGGTTTTGAAGGATTTATGTTGATTATCAATTTATTCCATGTTTATGATTCTAGTTTGCAATTCTTATGCTTATTTGATACTTTGATCATGAGCTTAGTATTTGATTGAGCAATGGTTGATTTATTTCATTGATTTTGCATTGGATCATTGAATTTATCTATAACAAAGGCTTTATGATGGTAGAAATCATCTCTAGCTTATGAATCATATCTCCTTATGGATGTGTAAGCATTTGACATCCTTTAGGAATTGGAGATTCCTTCATTCTTAAGGCTAGTTGATTTCTTGGGATTAATTGCTTCAATTGACCCTTGATCTTAATTAAGAAGGTGTGTTGTGGGCTTCCCCAACCTCCATACTACCTATGAGGAATCTTGGCATATCATGCTTAATGATTGCTATAACCAATTTGGGATGAAGGATAAGCTTTGTATTAGATCCTAATGATAAACACACAAATATCCATTGTGTTGAATTGCCTTAGTTAACCAATTATTCCCAACCTTTGAGCATCTCATCAACTTGCTTAATTGCAAGGTTTTTAGTTATTCAAGTATTTTAGTTTTCAAGTAATCAAACACCCCCCACCCCTTTTATTTTAATTGTAGTTAGTTTAATTTCACTAGTTCTATTGAATTGCATTGGTGATTGAATACAACCATTTTCCCGAGGATCGATACCCCTTTTTACCATTATATTACGTTTATTTAGCAATCAAATGGTGTAATTTGCTTGGTGGGCTTGACATCCCAACCAATCAACATAACTTAATAAATCATATCATATGATACATTATGTTACTTACTAATGAAAAATTATTATTTCCAATAAATAAATAATTTTCAATTAATTATAAGAGTTTATGAAATATTTATTAAAATCAATTTATAATAAATAATCAATTATACCAAGTTGTTGTTAGTGTGACCCATTAGTATCATATGTTAATTAGCAGTATCTGTCACACATGGTTCCAGGTATGAAATTTTTTTGATTGTGCATGATGTATCTTTGAGGGCCACGACGTGGTGAATCTGCACCACGACGTGGCGAAGAGTTTTGGGTCGCAAGGGTTTAATGAACCACCACGACGTGGTGATTTTTCCACGACATGGATATTGGGGAAAACCCTAAAGTTAAGAATTGAACCCTATTTAAAGATCCTTAACCCCTCATAGCCTCCCTCCCATCAGCCTCCATCTCTCTAACTCGTCCCTTGTTAACCCTAGATCCCTTGTGTGAGCTTTTGGCCTTAAAGAGTGTGTTTTTGGTGCTTGTGAAGAAAGATGGTGGTGGAAGATCACTTGGGGAGTTCAAAGCAAAGAAAATCCAGGAGTTTTCCATCCTCTAGCATCTCAAAGAGGTATAAAGTCTTCACCTTGTTGAGTTAATGGATAGATCTATGGATTTTGCCCACTTTTCTCTATGTTTTGTTGCCTTAGATGGGGGAACTTCATAAAGTTTACAGCTTTATGAATTTCCAAGCCATTTTGAGCATTTAGCTCTTGGGATCTAGCTTAGAATCGAGTTTTGAGACCATGCATGGAATATTGGTCTTTTTGCCCTATTTTGACCTAATAAGAGTTTAAGTCATGCATTGGACTTGCATGGCTGAAAAGCACCAATTTTTATGGTGTGTTTGATGTTAAAGACTCTTTCAAATATTTTGGTTAAGAAACCTCTTAGATTGGATGGTTATTGCTTAAGCCATAAAGTGTTTTGGATCTTAAAGATGAGATCTAAGAACTTTAGAGGGTTCTATTGGATAAAGTTGGAAATAAGCTGCGGGAAATGTCGTTACCACGATGTGGTAAGGCCACCACGAAGTGATGGCGAGGCAGACCACGATTGTTTTGTCGTATTCGTCACCACGACGTGGTACAAGGGTACCACGATGTGGCGGTCAACTAAATTGACTTTCCTTGACCTTTTGATCGTCTGAATTAGTTTGACCCATAAGGGGTATTTTAGATATTCTGGATTATACTTGAGAATTTTTGTTTGATGGTTAGGAGTCGGTTAGAGCTGAGTTTCGAAGTCGGTACCTCGTCAGCTATTATTCGGATTGGGAGGTGAGTCTTCTCATTATATTAATGGGTCAAAGGCACCAATGCCCGCCCACTACTTGACGTGTGGAATGTTAGTTGTCTATGTATTTGCTTGTCGGAAAGACCTCAGGGGTAGCCCGTGGCACTTTTATGAAAGACCATGAGGGTAGCCCATAGCATGGAAGACCATAGGGGTAGCACATGGCTCTTGGATATCAGACCATAGTGGTAGCCCATGGCATTCTAGGGAAAGATCATGGGGGTAGCCCATGGCAATCATATGTATGTGGTGTGGTATTTTGTAATTGTATATTATATGGCATTTGGGGAACTCACTAAGCATTTGCTTACAGTTTGTATTGTGGTTTCAGGTACTTTTAGTACTAAGGGGAAGGGCCCCACTTTATGGCGCAACATTCACTCTCCACTATATTCTACACTTACTGATATTGTTACTCTGATAATTGGACATGTTTATTATGTTATGGATTTTGGAAACAATTTATGACCGTAGTTTCCTATTTAAAAATGAAAAAATTTATTTAGTTTTGGGCTGTTACAATATCTTTTTAATATAACGCTTGAGCATGCAAGATCTTTCAATGCATGTATGTTGGGCGAGGCTCGTTTGTATGCTGGGGAGGCCCGTTGGGTGAGACCCTTTCTATGTGAGTGGGGCCCATTCTATGTGTTGGGAGAGGACCGTTTGTATGGTGGTCGAGGCCCATAAGGTGAGGCCCGTTTGTATGTGGGGCCAGACCCATATGGATATGGGATATTTTAAGGAACTCCAGTTCTAAAGGGAAGAGTTCGACATGATCGTATTGCACACCCCGACAATTTATTTCACACTGTCTTTTTTCTGATTTATCACTGTTGTTTTAAGAATGCTTTATACGCTCTGATTATCGTTTGATCCTAATGACTGGATGTTTGGTTTTTGGTTAATTAAAAACAAAAATTTTACTTAATATTTTAGAACGTTACATTTATGATGAAGACTATGATAAGGAAGACAAAGGTCCACCGCTCTAGATCCACAATTATATCATCCCAAAATGTTATATCCTCCATGATATCCTAATTCAAGAAACTTACACAACTTCACACTCATCCGTCCATTGTCCACAATATCATTGCAACTCTCAGTTCAAATTTGGTTCCTAAACGGTTTACCTAACTATGTAGGTTTAGATTTAGTTCAAACTAGAGAAGGACCCCGCTTTGTAGGGTTGGATACGCCAAGAAAATAGACACAATTGCCTTGGTTAATATAAAATCACAAATTATGAGTTCTCATCATTCTCCCCTATTATTCTCAAACCGTATATGACTACATACCCCCCCCCCCAACCTATTGAGAATAAAACATAAGTAGAGAAAGTCTTGGCGGTGGTTTGTGGTGGTGCCGCCTCTTTAGCTACCAGATGAGAGGTATGGAGAAGCATATGTTAATCGTTTTCCCTGAAACAACGAACCAATAGCAAAGTTAAATTAAATATCAAGATGGGAACAAAATAATTTTACTTAAAACTACAAACATAATACATGCCTTTAACTGTAACAGACATTCTATGAAACATTATAGAAGTCTAACTATTATAACCATCAATTAGTTGACCTAAAAAAACCTCTTAGAATGAAATCATAATACCATTCAACCATAAGCAAGTTTTTAGTAATATTTTCTATGAAATCATATACAAACTTATAAAAAAACTATTTTCATGTTTTTTTAAGCAAAGTCTTCATAATACTTAATTAGAAAAAATGAAAATAAGATGCCAAGAGGTACAAAATGAAAACATAAAACTATGATGCCAACATATAGAAACAAATTAGACAAAAATAAAGAGGAAGCTACCTTGATATCAGTTGGTGGCTGCCACCGCCTTGTTCACTCTTTCATCTATTTTTGCCACGTCATATGCTTTCTCACCCGCTCTTCTTGCCTCATAATATTCAAAAATCCCATTTTCACTTATTAGATTAAGAACAACTTAATAGAAAAGGTTAATGAAGTAATTAGTAATTAGTAATTACCTGAATTGCATTAAGAAGTTCGGAATGATAAACAACAACAGGTGAAACAGGATAAGTGGCACTTTGTGAGGTTGGAACATCAAGAACACCATTTTGCCAATGTCCAGATTGAGTCTCTCCATTTTTGAAAGTGTACATTCCAAGTCCCTGTCTTCTTCCATATTGCCATGAAACTTCATATCTATAACCATTTGCAAAACTGTAAACACCAAAACCATGCATCTTGTCTGCAAGATATTCTCCAACATATGTATCTCCATTCCTATAAAACATCAGGTCTTACATTCATTGTATTTATATATTATTAAAGATTAAACAAACAATATTGATGTGTATAGATAAAAGAAAGTAAGGATTTTTACCTGGAATGGTAATGGCCAAGACCATGTTTAACACCCCATTTGAACAAACCTATGAAGCCAATATGCATGGGAGGACTTCAAGGAATTGCAGGAATTAAAGCTTGTTGATACTGCAACTTCTGCTTAACTTCTATATATATGGTAAATTTCTTCCGACCTGCAATCAGCAAAAGACAATACTAGTAAGCCATAATATCAAACAAAACAGGGAAACCCATTTGAAGCCGAGAACAAAGAGGAGGTAAGAAGAAGAGTTTCAACATATCTGTCTGGATGTGTAACAGGGGCCATGGATAGCTGAAATGAAACACAAATATAAAAATACATGAGCATCATGATTGACAACAACAGGGGGAAGAAGACCACAATAACATCAACATGTTAACGAATATTCAATCAACCCTAAGAACAATTGCATCTACAACAGAGAAGGATTCGGACATTCCTTTTCCTTCGTCACCGCTAATCGCACATGAAAACAAATGTTTTCATAATCTAATACTTCGTTTATATATATATATATATATATATATATATATATATATATATATATATATATATATATATATATGTGACGTTTTTTTTCAAAATCAAAGACTTTATTTAGGGTGAATAAATTAGTAAAAGGCATCTTAAAAATAGTAAATCACACCATCTAATTCATGTAAATTTGTTTCGTCTACGTGAAAGGTGATTCGTGGAACATTAACTATATTTTAGTCTTAGACACTTTATAGTTTTAATTCTAGACCTCCTTTGTGGTATTCTACACACCTTATATATCCGGTAGGTTGCACGCTAAATAAAAAATAACATCTTATATGTCTATTAATACACCTTTGTAATTGTTGACAACAACATGTTTTTCACTTTCAATCTAGTACAAGAGGATGGTACAAATTTGTCAATAGATCAGACTCAAATGTTAATCACTAAGGCGATAATTGCATTAGCATGTCGTATTCAAAGCTTTGCATTATCTACGTTCAAGAAGCCATTAATTCGATGGCTTGATGAGGATGCACACAAATTATCAGGAGGAACTTGGTAGCTTGGATTGACAATTTTTTTTCATGAAATTTGCATTAAAGTCAAAATATTTAGCTGGCAACCTGATAAAAACAATTACTATAAACCAATGGTTACACGACCCTTATTCAGCTTCCCAAAACTCCTTTTAATCTTCCAAAAAATCAACCGACTCTCCTTAAACCTGCAATCAGGAAACATCAATGAACTTAATGGAATTGCAACCACAGAAAGGTACCTGCCAAGTAAATTGAAACCCAATGTGGATCATGTGATGCTATGAGGACCAGAAGCATTCAATCAGTTCAACAACACTTATGCTAAGGGTTTAGGGTTTGTAGTGAAATTGGAATGACAGTTACTTATATAGTTATATAGCACCTGATTAAATGGAAGTATTCTCGGTTACCTTCACACATGCTACAACCTTTAATGAAGCTTCTTTGTTGATAGGTGGAGAAACTTCAAGCTCATATTCTAAATCGCTTTTATCATCCTGCAAATTGGAATTTAATAAAAATAGTATAGGTAAATTGAATTCTGGAAGATGGAAAACATCTTATATTAGATGAGTGTTTTAAGAATAAATATGAATACAAAAAATCTCACAGATGGTCCCTGTGGTTTCAAAACTTTTAACAAATGGTCATTCCACCTAACTCCGTCAGCTTTCTACCGTTAAGTGAGAGATATTTTCATCATTTCAATACAGAATGACCATTTATGAGGTTTTCTATATATATATATATATATATATATATATATATATATATATATATATATATATATAATTATTTAATTAAAAGGCCCCTCTCTCTCTCACCTAATATAAGACCGGTACTCTCCCAAACCCTATAGGAAGTGTTTCTTTTCTCCGCTCCTCTCTCAGTCTTCAGCTATACACTACAACTACATCAAACACTAACAACTGATTTGATTAAGCAATCAACAGTTGATGAACCGCTGAACTGAAGTGAGTCGATCTCGTGCTTTGCCTTTTATCTCGACAGGCTCAGCTCTACTCTCCAACATCGTGCAGTTCTTGACTTCCCCCTCTCAGTACAGTGTACACACACTTCTTTTTCCCATTTCAGCTTAGAGTTCGATATCTGTGTTTACTTTGATGATTCTGAGTTTTCAATTTCACCAATTTGTGGTGTTAATTCTTTTGATTTCTCGACGGTGGAAGTGGATGCGTATGAGATTAATGTTTTAGCTTAGAGTTCCAACTCCATCTATTTTCGTTTGCCTTCTGTTTGTTGTTAATATGAAAATGAGTTTAATGTGATGAATTTCAGATTAAAACATTGCTTAATTTGTCTCTAATCTGCTATATGAGTTTGTAGGTTGTGGATATTATTTGGTGAATCTGAGATTATACTTGAATTAGTTGAATGTGATGAATTGGTTGAATCTGAAATGAGGTTATATTGTAATGTGTTGATTGGGTTCTTGAGAGAGAGAGAGGGAGGCCTTTAATTAAATAATATATATATATATATATATATATATATATATATATATATATATATATATATATATATATATATATTAAATAGAGAAAACCTCATAAATGGTCCCTTTGTATTGAAATGACAAAAATGCCCCTCACTTAACAGTAGAAAGCGGACGGAGTTAGGTGGAAGGACCATTTATTAAAAGTTTTGAAACCACAGGGACCATCTGTGAGGTTTTTTAAACTTAAGGATTAAATTTGATATTTTCGAAAAACACTAGGACCATTTTTGAAGTTTTATCTAAAATCTATCTAATCAAAGAACCAACACTTTATTACCATCATCAAACAACAATAAAACCTTCAAATAAACAATATGAAACAGACGGTTAATATCCCTTTATAAAACATCTATAACCCTTGCAAAAGGTTCCGGGAAAGCCAAAAGGGGGAAACCGTTTCAGTGCTTATCGCGGCAGAGAGATCCGGTGGCCGGAAGCGATTTCGCTGAAGCTTTGATGTTGTTACTTTACAATTGCTTTCTCCAACTCTCGCAATCTCTTTAGGTTTTCTATTATCCCCTCATTGTTTGACTTGAACGACTTTTTTCTTGTTTTAGCAGATTGTCTCTTCGTTCATTTGTACATCGTGGCTCTTGATAACGGAGCTGTCGTCGGCTGAAAGAATTATTTCCACCTGGTAAGTAATTAGTAACCGAACTTCGTCTCCATTTGTTTAGTCCTGTTTGAATTTTGAGAAGTATGTATGTATGAATCTGTTTAACATGATCTTCACAATTTCAATTTCAGTTTTGGGGATAGTCATTGAGAATTCTGTTATCAGTTCCATTCCTAAATATTCCTAAAAATTAGCCGCCGATTTAGAGATATTAGTTAAGCATACTTTAAATATTCAGTAGATGTGTTTTCTTGGATCCAAACTGGATGCGATCTCCAACATGATGTATTAAGAAAGTCAGATTGAGTTTGCAATGGATACTGTATGTGCTTAACTGTTTGAGACTGTAGCCGTTTACAGTGATTTCCAGGTTTGGAAATTAGTCTTAATCAAAATATAAAGCCATATGGAACAACACATCCAAGTTCCTTATTAAACATGTATAACTCAGATACACTTCAACTATGAAAACTAAAATACATTTCATAAACAAGTTCAAATAAGTATAATGCAATATGAAACTATAGAGTAAAGGTTTTATTGTTTTGTTTTGAGTACATGCAGACAGACAGAGTATATGCGTGTATGAAGTAGAGTTATCTTCTACGTGCAGCATTTTCTCTTTGAGCATTGAAGTAGACAGCAGCAACTGGTAACCCTAGCTCATTTTCTTGAGAGAATACCCGAGTGTTAAATTGATCTCTGGAAACAGGTGTCCTCACTGATTGCCTTGCTTTTTGCTTGAACAATAAGAACACATACCTGTGGATTCCTATCACAGGCTTTGGAATTTCATAGCTCACAATCTCCCTCCCTGTTACATCACATCCACACTCATTTATTTTACTCACTCACTCAACATATTATATTCATGAAATTTTACTTACCAAAGGTAGCATCAGTTGTACCAGGAATATCTGTCACCATCCTGAAATATCCAGTTTATTTAATTCCAATTCATTAAATAATAAACGATAATTGGCTTCAAAAAAAGAAAACTAATAATCAAACAGTTGATTGATGCTCACCAATGGAGATGTTCTCTTAAGTAAGGATCACTCGGGCTTGGAGCATCCGGATCCGTCAAGATCTTCAAGTAAAAATAGATACACACACATGTATATATATATATATATATATATATATATATATATATATATATATATATATATATTTGTCAGTTACAAAATAATATACAATAAATGTATTTATGTGGTTATAAAGAGAGAGAGAGAGAGAGAAAAAGATAGAATTATTACAATAGTGTAAGAAGATCTCATGTCTAAACCACCGATTTCAACATGAGGTTTGGAAGTAATGAGGTTCGGCTTTAGCTCGTGGCCACTAAAGACAGTGTTATGGGAATTGTAGGTTACACTCATTGTCACACTTGGTGTGAATTGGTCGACCACATCTCCTATAATCCTCCCTAGTACAAGTGACATGCTATTGAATATTGCTGACACACACACACACAAAATGAGGGAAATTAGATGTTGTTTATTTCGTAAATATATAAAATAAAGAGTGAGAGAGAGTGCCTTTTTATAGACACAAAAAAACTGTGGGAGGCCGAGGGACAGATGCATAAAAATAATCTCGTTTAAGAGCTAAAAGAGATTCACTTTCATATTCAAACTTGTTTTAATCAAACCTTTTCATTCCAAATCAGGAAGTAATCATGTCGAGTGCCTAGTGGTTGAAAAAGAATAAATAGCAAATCAAGAATAAAGCTTCTTTGCTTTATATTTCCCCATTCCTTTATACTTGCTTTCTATGTTCTCTCAGGGTGCATTTCGTTCGTTGGATACCATGCAATGCAATGCAATTTGGTCGGACTTGGAATTCAATTCTATTCCTATTCCTATCATGTATTTGGTTGGAAGTGAATACAAAATTGAATATTCTTGGAATTTGCAAGTTGAAAAAAATTACTCAAATACCCTTTTCCAAATTCCAACCCAAACACCCTTTAATTTCTCTCTTCGGTTCCATTCATTTCCTCCCAACTAAACACATGTCACATGACAGAATTCATCTGTTATTGTTTTTCATCTTTCTAGTTTTTTTTCTTGTTTTGTTTCGGGTAAAGATGATTATGTTTTTGTTTGTTTGTTTGTATATAGAGTATAGATGAATCATATGGATGGATAAGATTAAGATGGGAATGGTATGAAGGAATATAAGTTTAACAGAAATTGATAAAAAGATTGAGGTGGAAAGGGGGGAAGCTTTGTCTTATTTGAATATATGACTTTCAATGAGATTCCTTTAGAGACAGGTGGAGAGCTTGTAGACTTAATTCTGCACATTTTATAAAGGACGTGGACGTGTAACAAAATTATGAAAATGAATCAAGTACAATAAAACGATATAATGCATGGTAGCTGGCCCATATTAATTTTTGTCTTATTCTTTTTTCCTTTTCCTTTGTTTAATTTCATTAATAACACTCAATACTCATGAACCCAACACACTCAAACAACCGAGACAAGTGGCATGGTCCTGAATCCTAATGCGTTATATCTTTGCTTTACCCAATGATACGTATCATGCATAAAACTGAATTTTGCGACACCTTTTTAACCAATTAAAAAGATATTTATTCTATTCGATTATAAAGTACAGGAAGAAGAAATGTAGTACAATAAAGTCGTGTTGCTTTTTTTTTCATTGTCTTTGTTTGGTTTTTCATCATGGCCTTTTCGAATGCGTGGCAATACTTGAAGAATGTGGCCTGTTTGTGAGATTGAAAAAGTCTACGAAATAGATTTTATTTTCTACCAAAAAATGAGAGTATGAAAAATGAAACACAAATTATAGATGACAACTTTAGACAGAAAACTAGGAACGGCAAAATGGTTAAAATGGCTAAAAAAACTGGTTTCTACCGCAATTTCTTTTAACTTTTTGGAATAATGCTAGTCTGTTGGACCGAGCCTTAAACTGTTTTTTGTTACACGAACAATGCTCAACCCGATAACATCTAAAATATACTGTTTTGAACGATTTGTGTATATGTAGTCCGATGGGTACGAACTTTGCCCTGTTCTGGGCCAAAAAGAGTTGTGACTATCAAAAAAACACTTCCATTGTGCAGTTCTATTAGTCACTAGTAATGGTCAAACCAGTTATCTTGGGTAGGGATAGGGGTGAGCAAACCAGTTTTTTTTTTTCAACCCGAACTGGTTCAGAAAACCGGTTCGGTTCCAATTCGTGAATAGTAAAACCAGTTTGGTTCAAACCGGTTCCGTCATAGAAAAACTCTAACCCATCTAAACCGGTTACACCGGTTCAATCGGTTCTAAACCGGTTTGATCGGTTTGACTACCGGTTCTAAACCGGCTCACAGTTATTAAACAGGTTTTAAACCGGTTTCAAAATCTAAAATCCCGAATGGATGCAAACTGGCGGTTCGGTTTATAGTGGACCGGTTCATAGTGAACCGGTTTACTGGTTCAGTGACTGGTTCGGATCTTGAACCGGTTTTTTTGTGCAAGCCTAATCTTGGGTAAATGTATCTCTCGGAGTTGGATAAAAGAGTTAAGCCAATATAATTCAATTATAGCATGATTTGAAGCACGATGTTTGGCCTAATGTCGAAGCTTGAGCGCATATGTGTTTGTAAGTAACACTCCTTATTTGAACTCCAACTAAAATATAATATCTACTTACTCTATCAAACGTTGTCATATACATGCACATGCACCTAAGTATAGTCTTAAAAGTATGCAACGGTTATATACATGCACATGCACCTAAGTATAGTCTTAAAAGTATGGTCGTTGTTACTATAATTTCCTAACACTTTTAACGGTTATATTTCTATTTCTTTTTCTTATATGTGTAGAAATGGTCAACATAAGACTCATTCTCAACAAAGAATCGCTTCAACCAAGCATAAGACCCGATAATATCAAGTCAAAGAACGTGCATATGCTTATTCAAGAGGATACTGGAAATATTGGACTTATTGTTATTTAGTCTGGACTATGAATACACATGTAATACACACACTACAGGCACAATTAGCTTACTACTACATTTGTATTCATATTATTATCACCATTTCTGTAATCTCAAATTCAAATCAATAAAAACAACTAGGTAGGTGATCATTATCACCTCTTAAGGTTTTATGTTAGAGATCTAATAAATGACCAACGACTTTCCTTGTAACTCACTTGTCTCATTTTGATCATTATTCAATACTTGCATTATCTTAAACACAATAGCCTCTCATACGATTTGGTTGAATAATATCTTATCAATTTTTAACCAAAACAAATTAGTGCCATCTGTAGGATTGTGGTGTTGACAATCGTTTAAGAGTCATGTCTACCCAACCAACCTTATCCTCTTCCTCTATTCCTCCTATTTCCTCTAAAAACCTTTCATTGCCTCCAAGCGGAGCTCAAAAAAATACCTTTGAGGCACTGAAGAAAGACACCTATCCAGTCACCACCCAAGGATTTCAGGTTCCTCCTGTAGTGATTTCCAACAATGAGCTATCTGCTATGATGAATAGACCGGAACAAAAAGTTACTCAACGGTAGAAGGATAACAGGATGGCGCTCAAGGAAATTGAGAGAATGAGGGCGGAGATACATAACTCCCAAGAAGCACCATCCTCGATCTTGCAGCCCAAGATCCTAAACTTTGATAGTATAGGATCATCAGGAAACCGCCAGGAGATAGTTACCTCAACACCACCACCTGCTCCACTTGGGGTACGGCTCCAAACAAGCACGCCCATGTGATCCAGGATCACAGCGAAATCTTCATTACTTCTAATAACAAGGATCTTGGTAACTTTGTGAATAATAATACTTTTAATGCTAACTACCCTATGGACCTTGATGCGGAATGAGCCTAGTCATGGCCAAGGAACTTCAGAAGTTAAGGTATATGATCTAAAGCGTGCCCGAAGTGGTCCAACCTATACCATAGGTATTCCCCACGAGCTACATGATCTCAAGATTTGCTCCTACGATAGCTGGTACTAAAGTCCCAAAGAGCTTCCAAAATCCCAACATCAAGCCTTAAGATGGAACTATGGATACTAAAGAACATGTGGCACAATATAGCGAAAGAATGTAGATCATCCCCATTCTCACACATTTGAAAGAAGCTTGCCTATGCAAGGGCTTCGGTTCGACCCTAACAGGATTCGCCTTAAAATGGCTTCTTAACATTGCTCCTTACTCTATTACTTCATTTGCTTACTTAGTTAATCTTTTTAAAAATCAATTTTCTTGTAGCAGAACATTCGAAAAAACCACTAGTGATCTTTACCAGGTAGATCAGAATCCTAAGGAATCCCTTATGAATTTTGTGAACAGGTTTGGTAGGGAGGCTCTGAGTATCCCCAACATCGATATGACAACTGTCGTAGAAGCCTTCAAAATGGGCTTAAAGAAGAACTTTCCTTTCTACGAAGACCTTGTAATGACTAATGGACAAAGTAAGGAACAAAGCGTTAAGGTTCATAAGGCTCAAAGAAGACAAGGAGATCCAAAAGAGGAGCAACCCACCAAACTCATACGATAAACCCAATAGGAAGGTCCGCTCCTCATCCCAAAGGTCATATAAGTTGAAACCATATTCCAAACGAGATCATCATAGGGTTAATGCTTGTGAAGATGAAAGAGAGGAAGAAGAATATCCCAAAATTACTGACTACTGTTTTTATGTGGATGTTTTAGGTTTAATATTTGTTATGCAGGATCTTGTTGACAAAGCAAGATGGCAAGAAAGGGAGAAAAGTCCATCGGATGGAAAGATAACTCCAAGTGGTGTGCATACTGAAATGTCTAGTATGCTCAAGAGTCATATTAAAGTGATATTGCTTAATAACATATGATACTAATAGGTCACACTAACAACAGCTTGATACAATTGATTATTTATTAGAAATTGATTTGAATCCTTTTTTCTTTTTCCTAAAAGACAAGGTTTATATTTTATAAAATAGTTTATAAAAGTTTGGCTTTCGTTCTTCTTCTTTATGCAATTTTCAAGATATGCATAAAAAGAAGAAGTACATGACTTTTCTAATCATGCTTTAAAGGCATGGGAGACGTGTTTATGACAATGGGGACAAGTTTGCTTAAAGTGCTAAGGACTAATTGTTAATACCTTCACTTTTTGCATATAAATATGAGGCTTGCATTTGGCTAAGGGTGTTCATTCCTTCCCTTATGCAAAATCCGAAACTAGCATCCTCTCTTTCACACTCTCTAGTTGTGGTTAGAAAACTTGAAGAATAGTTGCATATTCAAGCCTTATTTAAGTTCATATTGGTTATGAACTTAAAGCTTAAGGGTTAAGAGTTTTGGACTAGCATCTACATCAAGTTGAGTCATTGTTGGTGTCTCAAAGGTTCAACATTCTTCATCAACTTCTAAGCCTCCCAAGAGGACCCAAAGAGCTACAAATGTTGTTATTTCTTTACCCTTCCTTTGGTTGGTGTTTAAATCTTTCTATAACTTGCAAGAAGATCCTTGGTGGGTATAAATGTTTATGTTACTTCAAAAATTAAAGTCTTCCGTTGCCATATTTTTTTAGTTTATGAAACTATTTTTGAACAAAAACCCAACAATTTGTATCAGAGCCATCTTGCAAGTTTGGTTAGACTTTTTGATTTTTGAAAATCTTAGTTTTTGGAGAATATGGATATCTTGTTTTTGTATAAAAATAAGTTTATACATATTTTCTATGACAACTTTTTTTGTTATTTTATGTGACAAAAATTTCATGCATCTTTTGTCATTCAAAGTTGTTTTAGAAAAACAAAAGTTATTTTATGTGTATGTTGATGTATATGATGTGCATAAACTAGCCAATTTTTTTTTTGATTGGCCAAGTCATCATCAGAAGGAAGAAGTATGCTACCATGAGAACGAGTAATTTTCTTGCCCATAATCGGAGAAGGAGTAAAACGAAAGGAAAAAGGGAAAAGAAACTACCTTTGAAAGTGACCGAAGGTGAACGAGAGAATAGTTAGGGAAGGTAAAGAAAATCTTGAACCAATTACCCCTATTTATTCTAGTGATAGAGGAGAAAGAAGACAATTTGATTATGTAATGATGCACATGGAACAGATAAATTTTATCTGTTAGTATTTGAAATTCAAATTCCTTATCTTTATTGACTTAAAATTATACCTTTAATATTTAAGATCAACCTAAATATCATGCAAGTATAATTTAGGGGCAGGATCCAGGAACCATATTTAGGATCCTTAATGTTAACGAAGCCTCGGGATCCTTAAATATACCTCAGGATCTTGTTCGATACCGTTATAATTTCCTAACACTTTTAACGGTTATATTTCTATTTCTTTTTCTAATATGTGCAGAAATGACATAAGACTCGTTCTCAATGAAGAATCACTTCAACAAGACATAAGATCCAGGAATACCAAGTCAAACAATGTGCATATGCTCATTCAAGAGGATCCAAAAAATATCATCCTTATTGTTATTTATTCTAGACTACAAATACACATGTAACACACACACACACACACTATAGACACGATTAGCTTATTACTACATTTGTATTCGTATTATCATCATCGTTTATGTAATCTCACATTCAAATCAATAAAAACAACTAGGCAAGTGATCATTATCACCTTCCAAGGTTTTATGTCGAAGTTCCTATAAAGGATCGATGGCTTTCCTTGTAACTCACTTGTCTCACTTTGATCATTATTCAATACTTGCATTACCTTAAACTCCACAGCCTATCATATAATTTGGTTGAATAATACTTTGATCAATTTTTAACCAAAAAAATTATTATATGTCTTTATATATATATATATATATATATATATATATATATATATATATATATATATATATATATAAGTATTCTTTTTATAAGATATTTTTGGAGAGTAAAACAAAAGACCTTACCAACTTACATGGTATCAAAGTTGGGATCTACTACTCCATGCCCTAATATCACTATACACAACTCTGAGAGAGTGTTAATGTTCCCACATCTACTAATCATTGTTAGATATATCTCTTTGTATGTTGAACTTTACTATCTTTCCATAAGGCCTCCTTTTAAAGAGTATTTCCACATATTTTACATAATATTGAACCATCAAAATCCTCATAGCTTAACACAACCTTGTTTGTCCTCATTGAGACTTCGTCTTAAGGAAATATTACTGATGGGGCATTTCAGATGAAGGTATGTTGTAGATTAAAACAAGATTGCTTGGATAGTGATCAAATCGTGTATTCACTTTCTTTGAAAACTATTTACACCCTATGCCTTGACAAATATTTTCGAAATATAGAGATGATTACATACACTTCAGTTCTCAGGCACAAGAAATGAAGAAACAAAAAATGTTTATTGTGCATAATTATTAAATCGTACGTTTAAAAAATGGAGTATTACCTTTATTTATACTCCTGAAATCCATAAAATAGATAAGAATGACCAAAAATATTGTCACACCCCCGGCCGAGGCGACGGAACATGCCGGGCTGTGTTACTTAGT